GCCGGGCTCACGCAGCCTCGGCGCAGCTGCTACATACACAAACTCATCCCTATTGCCTGGTAAAATCTCACTAATTTTGGGCTGCCTGCACGTGCTGCCAGCCTCTGTCGGCACAGCAGCCCCTGCACTGGCTCTGACCCGGCCCTGCCCAGTGCCACCCAGCAGGGACATCCTCCCCGCCTCACTGATGCTTTTGGTGGCAGAGGGAGCACGGTGGAGCTTCCTTGAGGTGCCTCTTGGCGTGGCTGGACACGTTATTCCCAGCTCTGGTTTGATCAAGGAGCAATCCATCCTGCCTTCCCGCTGCCAGGAAGCCTCTCGGGCACCCGAGTTCCATCCTCCTCCTCCTCTCCTGCCTGGCAAAACACAGCCAGGTCCTTCCACGCTCACCGTGTTGAAGGTACCGCTGACTTTTGGGGAGCTGTAACAAGCCCCTGACCTCGAGAAGAACAACGGTGCCTCAGCCGGGGGCTGAAGTCGGGCTGAAGGCGCCCCCTGCTCACAGGGTCAGCCCTGGCACCGTGGGGCGTGCGCGGGGGTGCGCGTCCCTTCTGCGTCCCACCGCCGGCGGGCAGGAGGGCTGGGAGGAAAGAAAGGCAAGGCAGGCCTCGGTGCGTACATTCACAGGTTGTAATATTCATCACGGTTACACCAGGGGTCAGGACACGTCCCGCAGTCAGACAGAGCTTTAGTTCTTTACGGTTACAAGGAAATTCTGGAACAGTTATATAGTTAGAAAAATTACAACGTACTGAACAAACATTATCTCACATACAACCAATTTAAACATTTAAATTGATTTTAATTTTGCTAAAATATTAACACAAGTACTGTTTGTGCTGCTAAAATTTCAGTGTTCCCTCTAAGGAAAATATTGCTACAGTTCTACCGTACCCTGTATTAAAATCCTTTGCCTTTTCCCCAGCCAGACTGACTCCACAAAAATCACAAGGGTCCCATGACTAATTTCAGCTTACACCGTACCGGGGTTTGGGTGTCCCTGGTCTGCTCCATGCAAAGATGTCTCACTGTTCACCAAGCCCACTGGCACAGGCCACTGGCAGATGCCCCCCAGTTGCCTCTTCCTTGCTCCTTGCATGAGCCAAACAAGCAGCACCACGGCTAAACCAGCGCAGCACCCTCCTGCTTGGACCTTGAAGTGGGTGCAAAGGTGGCCAGTGGGACAGATACCACTGTCCCCGCTGGGAAAGCCCGTGGCGGGGACCGCGGTGGGATGCCC